ATTTGTCTATGCAATATAATGATTATTTTCAATAAAATTATAATAGCCAAAGTCGACACCGAATCCGAAGATGAAATTTCCAATACATCAACATCTGCCAATACTGCATCACAAATAAAAAAGCAAACAATGCTTGCTAATTACGTTTTACGCCCACTTTCTGATAATGATAAATCGCGCTTTGAGAATTTAGTACTACGAATGATAGTATCAAATGGCCTCCCCTTTACCTTTATAGAGAACCAAGAAACGCGAGATATTTTTAATTTTATGATGCCAACCCTAAAGCTACCTAATAGGCGTGCAATTAGCGACCGAATTCTTTCAAAAATATCAGTGAATATAACGGAAGAAATTTTACAAAAAGCATGCGCGGATAAAATTGGGGTAACTGCAGCTTTCGACGGCTGGACAAATATCAAGAGAGAGCATCTGTTTGGTGTAGTTTTAATAACTTCTCGGGGTAAACCTTTGATCTGGAATGCGAGCGATATAAGTAATCAGCGATCAATGACCGAGAATGCAAAACTTCATATTAAAAACATAATGAATGATGCAGAAGAAAAAGGCATAAAAATAAATTGTTACGTGTCAGATTCTGCTGGTGAATATGCGGCTGCAAGGTAATTTTAAGCAATTATTAAGTATATATATTTTTAAAACATTAGATAATCTAATTTTTTTTTTTTTTTTTTTTTCTTTTTAGACGGCAACTAAGAATTGAATATCCTGATAAAGTTTTTGTGCCTTGTATGGCGCATCAGATTAACTTGGTTGTTGGAGAAATTTTTAAAGAATCTGATGCATACAAAAAACATCAAAAAATGCAATACGCATTGTTAGTTTTTTTCATTCATCAACGTATTTTACAGGCTTATTACGGAACGAACAAATGTCGTGTTATAAACAAACTATTTCTCTTGTCACCCCAGCTGAGACACGATGGAATAGTTTCTACTTTTGCTTTCATTCTGTATTAAAAAGTGAAGCCGCACTTAAAGTAATTAATAAGTAACATTGATTAAAGAAAAAATTTGTGCCGTATTTTCGCGAAATAATGCCCTGTGCATTATTTTGCGAAAATAAGCAGTATATTTGCTGATTGTAATAACAAAATTTTATATAATTAGACATTAGCCACTAAACTTTCGCCCGTAAGAATTGGAACAACTAGCACCTCTCGAAGCGGACATTCAAGACAACGATTTATATCCGAAGATAACAATAACACAAGCAAGACACTTCCACATGATATTATATTAATTCTTCAAGACCCCAATTTTTGGAATCAGCTCTATGAACTTCAAGATTTGTTATTTCCCTTGTGTGGTATATTAAACAAACTTCAGAAAGACGTTGCAAGACTGCATAAGATCGTACATTGTTTTGGCTGGATCATTAAGGTTTTTGCAAACCATAAGGACAAGTGCTTTTCTGATCACATGGTAGCACGTTTAGAAAATCGGTGGTCTCAATGGGAACAACCCTTACTTTTACTGTCATTAACTTTACACCCAAAATATCGACTTTCGAAGTTTTCTCCCAATACATCCGGTCTTTCTTATACGCATTTCGCTCAATGGTTAAATTACTATTATTATGTATGGTTTGGAAAAACACCCACTCGAATTTTACGGGAATTTTTATCATATCAGAAAGAGGATTTTCCTTTTAATAAAGAAGTATACCATCAGTTTGGTGAAAATATAGTTGATTTTTGGGAAATGGCAAAGGGCTTGGTGCCAGAATTATCTCAATTAGCATTACGACTCTTTGGCATTTGTATCAATTCAGCTTCGGTTGAACGATTATGGTCAACTATGGGCTTTTTACATACGAAGAATCGAAATAGTTTACCAGTATATATATATATTTTTAATTATTATTATTATATATATGAGTAATAGAAAGGAAAAAACCTGTAAACAAATCACAAACATTCACTGAGGCGAACTTAAATTCTGAACCCACAATGTCAAATAATTTATTATATAAATTTATTACTGAAATTAACTGGAATACATACTAGAGCTGATCATGTGGGATCAGAATTTTTAGACGCTAAATTCGTCCTAGTGAATGTCAGTGATTTCAGGATTGTTTTCCTCTTTCGTCATTCATATATGTTTTTATAATATATTCATTTTTAATTTTATTTTACTATTTATTTAAATTAAGTTTGAAAAAGTGCTAGCGATGAGTCAATTGCATAGTAGCATATTAAGCAAGAGAAAATGTGAGGAAATTGAAAAGGCTGAAATTCAATACAAACGAATTTGTCGTGTAGCTCCTGTTCAGCCCTATGAAGAAGATAGAATGCAAGAAGTATCAGAACCTTTACCTTCCACAAGCAACAATGAAATTCACCCATCAACTATCAATAATCTGGCAGCTGAACAAAGTGAAGATCCCGAAACAATTAACGATGATATAGTCGATGATCCTGAAGATTACTGGTCTTGCGTAATTGAGAATTGGATTGATATGGTAGATGCTGAGAATCATGTAGATAATGAGGAAATCATGGATAATGAAATGCTTGAATTTGAGTTTGGTGGACGCATTATCCATCCAGCAGAGGATCCATCGGCAAAGTAGAATTTATTGGAATTATTCGATGATTCATTGAAAGCTCCCGTTTCATTTGCCTTTCAGCAATAATTTTTTAAATGCTTGGTCAGAATGGATATCTTGATTTTTTTTTTTTTTTTTTATCATATAAAGTAACAATATTATTCACCAATTTTATTGATTTACCCCGAAAAAAAAAACGAAAAAAAATAAATAAAAAAAAAATGAAAAAAAATAAAAAAAGAAAAAAAAGATAAAAAAAGGATAAAAAAAAAAAAAAAGAAAAAAAAAAACAATTTTACTTTGTATCAATTTGGTCGCTAACTTCCTGAAGTTAAATCTTCTGAAGTATATTATCATTTAATGGAAGGAGTCTTCTTTCGTTGGGTTAGTTCAGTACTATAGCATCTAATCCTAATCAAGTTTAAATAAAGATGAGATGTTAACTCATGAAAGTTTACATCTATAAATCGTGGATTGAATCCATTTTTCTTGCTTGTACACATTTATGAAAATAGCAATAAAAGCAGAACTTTAACTATCATTTCGCATTTGCTTTACACAATTTTTTTTTTAAAAAAATATAGGTCGCTAAAAATAGACCAATTAATTTTGCCGTCCTAAATACAAAAAAGGTTAATCGTAATTAATAATGAATATGATTCTTTTATTTTGTAATTATCGCTTACATTTTTAGTGATAAAGCATTGAAATGGCAATATAAATAAATACTATAAAGAATAATTCGGATACTTGGATTTTTAATGTGAACGGGCTTTACTATTTATGTGCATACTGCATCATTGTGAATAACACCTCAGGGAATTATTTTGAAACACGATTTAAAGAGAACTAAGGTTCCTGGTTAAATCAATTTCCAACTCTTTTTTAAATTGAGTCTCGAAATAACACCCTCAGAATTTTATTTTGCAACGATGCAGGTTATGCTAGCACTTAATCTACCAATTAAATTGCACTAATTTTTAAATGACCCCATGGGTCATTTGACTCTTGAAATGACACGTGACTGGTCATTATTCA